GGCCGATGCAAACGTTTCCGCGGACCACCACCCAGGCCCCCAACGCTGGTGACAAACCTCATTTCACTTCTCTATCTAAATGCCAGTAATACAAAATGATTCATATTACCGGAACATACAAAAACAAAATAGACACAGCTATAAAGTGTTTTTATTAGGGGGAGGGGAATTCAGATCTTAGGATTAGAATGCTTCAATAGGGGTAGTTTACCTAACTTCATTCTTTTATTAAACATTACTAAGTATTCACGTCCGAAACAAATGGTGTAAACATTGTCAATATTTCCGGATCAACCTGCGTTTGCATCACAGCCGCACGGACCACCTAGAGGACCGTCTCGGACCACTGCTGGCTCCATGAACCAAACTTTGAGAACCACCGCCTTAAATAAATTTCACAACAAGAGGGCGCAGTTACAGAAAACACGCCAGGTGCACTCTAATCTGAGACCGCAGTGGCGCTCGTTGACTCGGCAATGCCTGAGTCTCATAACTTTTTTTCAGGAGGGTCCAGACAGGTTGTCACAGTCAAGGGGGCTACATTGCTGCTGTGTATAACCCCAATTGAATTATTTACATGTATTTGTGTTGGTTTTTTTTTTTACCTGTGGGGAGGAAAGTGGAAAACACTGAAGCTCATCCAGAACACACAAAAATTTTACGCAGAATGGCTCCAAGAGTCGAACCCAGGCCCCTTTTCATTGCGAGGCGCGAGCGTTGTCACAACTACTCCGCTGCCATGCGTGTGCGTGATTTGTCTTCCGTGTTATTGTCCCCATTAGATCAACAAGAATCTCACCTGAAGAAAGGCACGTTGATGCTGTGGCACCACCCCTCAGCGGCCTTCAGCTGATGTGCCTCGGTGATGGTCATCTATACCCAAAGACAAAGACCCCCCCCCCCCCCCCCCCCCCCCCCCCCCCCCCCCGTATAGCCTTAACAAACAAATCATTGCTTTGCTCTTGAGAGCCACAGTAGGTAATTATTAATATTGTTATTTCGCATGTTTACCCAGGAAAGCCTCACAAAATACCACTCCAATTATTAGCCATGTGCAGTGAACCCTCTTTATCCATGAGTGTAACGTTCTTGAAAACGTTCGCAAATTCAGAATTCGCGAATGCAGAAACCTTGTTCCAAAAGGATAAATGAGGATATGTTCCTGGTACGAGTGAACATCAGGGGGTAAATGGTTAAAGTTCAAGAACAATGACTACAATAAATAATCTTATCGATGAATGTAATTTTTTTGTCTGTGCACGCCTATTCTTGTAACGCTTTTACTGACAAACTGTTGGGTGTACGTTTCAGATACAACACACTAAGCCCCCGGACGAAAAATCGCTATTTGTGTTTCCCCTTGGTCCAATGTAAACTAAGAAAATCACACTTTTTATCAATGTACACTGATCGAAATGATGACTTTGTGCCAGCGCCAAAGCACGCATCTGCGCATGCGCGGAAACGCCGACTTGCTGTTGCCCCTAGCAACACAAACTTGCTGATAGGCGACGGGTGGTCGGGTCTCCTTCACGTAAAAAATGCCAAAAAGACAAAAATCAAGCACAGTTACTGCTGCACAATCACACGCTGAGGTAAATACAGAACAGTGTGATGTCCTCTTCTCCCCCCCCCCCACCGTAATGTTTGCAGTTCCTACTCTAGAGTCCGTAGATACTACTTTAGAGTCAGTAGATACTAATGTAGTCACAAGATACTACTGTAGATTCAGTAGATACTAATGTAGAGTCACAAGATACTACTTTAGAGTCAGTAGATACTAATGTAGAGTCACAAGATACTACTATAGAGTCAGTAGAAACTAATGTAGAGTCACAAGATACTACTTTAGAGTCAGTAGATACTAATGTAGAGTCACAAGATACTACTATAGAGTCAGTAGAAACTAATGTAGAGTCACAAGATACTACTTTAGAGTCAGTAGATACTAATGTAGAGTCACAAGATACTACTATAGAGTCAGTAGAAACTAATGTAGAGTCACAAGATACTACTTTAGAGTCAGTAGATACTAATGTAGAGTCACAAGATACTACTATAGAGTCAGTAGATACTAATGTAGAGTCACAAGATACTACTATAGAATCAGTAAAAACTAATGTAGAGTCACAAGATACTACTATAGAGTCAGTAGATACTAATGTAGAGTCACAAGATACTACTTTAGAGTCAGTAGATACTAATGTAGAGTCACAAGATACTACTATAGAGTCAGTAGATACTAATGTAGAGTCAGTAGATACTAATGTAGAGTCACAATATACTATTATAGAGTCAGTAGATACTAATGTAGAGTGAGTAGATACAGCTATAGAGTCAGTAGATACTATTGTAGAGTCACTAGATTATTACGATAGTCAGTAGTTACTACTATAGAGTCAGTAGTTACTATTGTAGAGCCAGTAGATACTATTATAGTAGTGACTACTATAGAGTCAGTAGATACTACTATATACTACTGACGCTATTGTATGTAGAGTGTATAGGTATATATGCCTATAAAAGAAGAATTTATTGGGGGGCGGGTCGACAATTTTTTTTTACTTTATTAGATCAACTATTTACCCTCTACTTTCTATAACTTTTTGATTCAGGCCTTCTTACTACTGTACAGCCAGTAGATACTACTATAGAGTCAGTAGATACTACTATAGAGTTAGTAGATACTACTGTAGAGTCAGTGGATACTAATATAGAGTCAGTAGATACTACTATAGAGTCAGTAGATACTACTGTAGAGTCAGTGGATACTAATATAGAGTCAGTAGGTACTACTGTAGTGCTAGATACGATAGAGTTTGTAGTTACTACTCTAGTCAGTAGATACAAATATAGACGTTTTTCAAATATGTTTTCAGGCTGGTTATGATCAGGCTGCGTCTAGGCATATCTGCATGTGGAGGCCTTTGCTGTATTTTCGTGGCTTCATGCAATGCGGTGGCGCATTGGCTGCTCGTTGCAGAGGGTAGTGGTTTGAATCAGGCAGGCAGCCCTGGTTTCTACTGCGGTGTGTGTATTAGCACGTAATGTACTTGCCGCCTGCCTTCACAGTGAATCTTGTAGATCCGTGCTGTCATTCTGAATGCAGAACGAGTGTGCCATTGTGTGCTGGCATAATTATTCAAATTTTTCCAAACTCAAGATTTACATCGCAAATAATCAACTGCGATCACAACAAACAGCAGCACCACCCCTACCATGAAACTACTGCAGACTGTGTCTGCTCAACACAGCGGTGCCTTCCTTGGCGATGATTGCCCTGCCCTTGTGGAGTGATGGCGGCCAGTACAAAATATACTCAATTATTTTTGTTGTCCCTCCTCCGCACCTCAGATTAGCACAATTGGCTACGTATGGTGCGAAATAAGTTCAACATACGTATATCCCGTTCCAGTGACGTTAGATGACGTTAGTCATCGAGACGGGAAAAAAACTTCTGTCTTCCGATTCCATTACAATTACGTACATTTACGTCATCGGAAAGGAATCGTTTCTGAACAGAATCAAATCAATTCTGAACGGAATCAGAAGTCAAATGCCAGCTATCACGGAGTGTAGTCGCGTCGAAACAGTTCTCTGCAGGGAGTACAACGTCTTGGGAAAACAGCGGCGCTACGCTTCTCTAAATAAAATGAACGCTGAACCGCTTGCACTTTCTGAGATCAGCGGTGAACGGGACACCCACCCTGCAAATTGCAGACGTCTCAGAACGGGATAGGATTCAAGTGCACTTTGCCACACATTGCAATGCGCCCATCGGCAGTGGAGTATATTGTGTGAGCTGCTCAGGGGTTATACTTACGACAGACATGACGCAGTTCAACACTTTTCGAAGCTTATTTGGTAATAACAATTCGCACAAGCAGGTCGGGAATGGGGGCCCGACATCCACCGTGGGCTTTTTCCCAGTGCCGAGCGACAGCACCACCTTCAGCGAGGGTTTGTCCACATCTGGCTCCTGGAACGTCACGGGGAAAACCAGCGGTCGTGAACGCAACGTCGTGGGCAACACGATGGCGCGATGTTAACTACCTTGCCCGGTATACAAGAGGTCGTGGGTTCAATCTCGACCCTGACACCTGTATATTTGGAGTTTGCATGTTTTCCCCGTGGTCGCATAGATTTTTATCCGGGTTGTCCACATTTAGAAACATGCATTTAGAGTATTTGGCTGCTATAAATTTCCACGTGATAAGCCACTTCGTTGAGCTATCGTTTGTGATAGCCAAGTCGCTTCTGAAACAAGCGCTATGAAGCTCAGTGGGCCTTACCTGGTAAAATAAAAAATAGTTTTAGGTTAGTTTGCGAGACCCTCAAACACGTCCGTGTCGAGGAGCATCGCTCCCTACTGGACAAACGTGGCAGGACCTTCCTTAAAAAGGCCTTTCCTGGGTGAACAATTGTGATAAAAATGTAATATCATGTGGGTGGGATTGCCAAGTTTTGCAGTAGGGGGCGATGTTGCTACTGCTGTGTGTAATTCCCATTTCAATAATGTACAGATAAATTTTCAGCATTTGAATATAGTTTTGGCCAATACCAGTTACAATTCGTCCGTTATTGTATCGCGATGGGAGGGAAACGGTGAACAGAGGAGAGAAAATACAAACTCCATACACAGGAAGGCTCCTGAGTCAGAAATCAAGCAACCCATGCCCCTTCTGGCTGCGTGACGCGAGTGTCACCACTAGGCAGCCTAATGCTTTGGTACATTAACGAGTAGAGTTTGACACGTCAATAGCTCTGGCAGAAGTGGCACCACGTTGGCGAGGTCGTGCGTTCGGTCCCGACTCTGATACCTGTATATTTGGAGTTTATGCGTTCTCCCCGTGATCACGTGGATATTTATCCGGGTCCTCCGGTTTTTCCCTCCACATTTTAAATCAACGTGCGTTTCGAGTATTTGGCTGCGATACATTTCCACGCGATAAGCCACTTCGTTGACCTATCATGTGGCCACGTTGCTTTTGAAAAAGAGCTTACAGCTGAGTAGGCTTTAACCTAGTAAAATGAAAGTTTAGTTTTAGGCCTTGCCTTGGACTTCAAGCCTCTGCTGTGGTGGTAGACCTCCGCCAGCATGGTCATGGTGGGGTTGTTGGCCAGGAGGCCCCCATCCACCAGGTCATAGATCGGCGAGAATAAGAATGGTGCCGAGCAGGTCAACGTGGCCGCCTGCCACGCGGGAAGGTCCGACATGCGACGGTAGATGGGATCTGCTTGTACAACGAGAAAGACCATCAGAACAGCGCGAGTTCTAGGGAGCCCCTCCGGCGAGGGTTCCACCAACTCTTCACACCGCTCGCTCTACTGCCCTGATTGTGCTGATGAGACACTAAAATGTTGAAACCAGTTCAGAGTGTGGTCGTGTTAAACCACTGCTTCTAATACAGGGTGGCCCATATGTCTGGAATCATTGGGAAAATTAATTAATCCATGTTTTTTTTCTGCAGGCCCAAGATGTCTCCGAGTAAGAAAGAACGAGTCTGGATAATTATACTCATAGGAAATCGGAGTCAGAGGGAGTTTGCTTTTGAATTTAACAGACTGCATCCAGACCGTGAGCCAATTACACAGAGCTGTGTTTTTCCTATGATTCCAGACTTATGGGACACCCTGTATATATTTCCAGTAGATCATCGATTATCCGGACGCTTCGGGGGGGGGGGGGGGGGGGGGACGGACGGCAAATTTTCAATAATGGCAGATAATCACGTAATAATAAAAAATCTTATTTATTTGCGCATTCTTGCATTATATAATTTTTTGTAGGTGTTTTTATATATTTTTTTTAATCTCTGCATATGGTGATGTATGTATGTGCAGAATTTCATCAATTTGTATATAGTGTACTAGCAGGAAGTACCCAGCTTTTCCCGGGATAAAAAATATATACATTTCAAAACTTGTCTTCTCTTAAAAAACATGACATATACATACACAAATACTAAGCTATTATAAAAGCCCGGCGTTCCGCTTGTCCATTTGTACGTCAACAAAATTATGAGAGCCTTACAGAAGGCCTGAATCAAAAAGTTATACAAAGTAGAGGGTAAATAGTTGATCTAATAAAGTAAAAAAAAATTGTCGACCCCCCCCAATAAATTCTTCTTTTATAGGCATATATACCTATACACTCTACATACAATAGCGTCAGTAGTATATAGTAGTATCTATTGACTCTATAGTAGTCACTAATATAGTAGTATCTACTGGCTCTACAATAGTAACTACTGACTCTATAGTAGTAACTACTGACTATCGTAATAATCTAGTGACTCTACAATATTATCTACTGACTCTATAATAGTATATTGTGACTCTACATTAGTATCTACTGACTCTATATTAGTATCTACTGACTCTATAGTAGTATCTTGTGACTCTACATTAGTATCTACTGACTCTATAGTAGTATCTTGTGACTCTACATTAGTATATACTGACTCTATAGTAGTACCTTGTGACTCTACAGTAGTATCCACTGACTCTATAGTAGAAACTACTTCTAGGCACAGGTTTCTTCTACCAAAAAATAAGCTACGCCTTAACCTGGTGGAGCCAGAAGTCCGACGCGTGTTTGACATGTCTTAAATCCAAAACTGTTTCCTTATTTTCTAGTTGCACAAAACTAACGACTTCCAAAGTTAAATCTCGCCTTTTACTTTATCACGTTATCACACGGTCAAAGACTTGTCCACTCGCTCCATCTGGTTCATCTCCTGGCTTCCTTTTATACTGCCAGACCGGAAGTGACGTCATGGGTTCAACCAACGGAGCGTCTAACCAAGGGGGATTCTAAACAGTTGGAATATTCCAAGTCACGTATGCCAAATCTTCAACAAATGTATGACAGATGTACATAAAATTTATACACAGAAATAATACATTAACTGTCTGTCTTATGGCTCTTGCACTACTGACTCTATAGCAGTATATATTGACTATAGTAGTATCTAGTGATTCAATAGTAGCATCTACTGACTATAGTAATAACTACTGACTATAATAGTATCTACTGACTCTACAGTAGTATCTACTGACTCTACAGTAGTATCTACTGACTCTATAGCAGGGCGAAGACCGAAAATTGAAGGAGCAGGGAAAGATATGAGGGGAGTGGGGAGTGAGGACAAACTGGTTCAGAATGTTCAGATGCCCATCATAATTATTAGGGGGGTCGTGTAATTAGTGCCAGGTGCGAAGCTGGGCATAGGCCCTTAAACTCCTATTAAGAGCCGGGTTCAGAAACACGGGGGGGCTCTCTATACGTGTCTCTGCTGCCGCATCTGAGGCAATGGGCGACTCTGCATCTCATTTCTCCACCTCTTTGTCTGCACAGTGGACGCTCGTGACGCTGGTGACGTAGCCCCGTGGGAAATACCCAGACCCGGTGAAGACAGACACGGTGTACCTGGCTGTATCTTGAAGACGTTGGATGCGCCGTGTGAACTGTACTGGAATTAACCAAAACTCCCCACGAGCAAGAATGTTCATTACAGTAGTATATACTGACTTTACAGGAGTCTCCCGTTGCAGCTCAGCAAGCTTATTTGCGTTGCTATGGGCAGCCGTGAGCCAGCGTCACGCGCATGCGCAGATGCGTGCTTTGGCGCACATTTCAAAGTTATCATTACGATCAGCGTACATTGTACAAAGTGTGCTTTTCTTAGTTTAGATTGGACCAAGAGCAAAAACAAATAGCGAGTGTTCGTCCGGGGGGCTTAGTTTGTTGTATCTGTGTACTTTGTTGAAACATAAACCCAACAGTTTGTCAGTTATAGGCGTACACAGATGGAGAGACAGACAGATGGAAAAATACATTTATAGGTAAGATAATGTACTGTATATAGTATTTAACACTGAAATCAAGCATAGCTTCATTTTTTTTGTCATGCACATGGTGTCGATCGTCAGACTGGTTAGAACCTATGGAGTATTTTTGCCGGTTTCACCGGATAATGTTAGAAGCCGGACAATCGATGATGAACTGGATGCACTCCCAGAAGGCTGTACGGATGATGGGATGTGTGAACATACTTCTAACTTTTGCGTGACAAACATGGGAAGGAGACGAATGGTATACTTATTCATTTTGTCACTTATTCTCCACATGCACTGTCGGGGCCATGTTCTGAGTTGTGACCCTACTCAGGCTCAGCCTCTAATGCTTAGGCTCAACTCAGGCTTGAGCCACTCTGTTGCTTCTGTAGTGAGTTCTTGGAGACCACTTGCAGAGGCAACGCGTTTATTCAATAATGCTTAACAGTAAGAGTTGCAGCCTTCACTAAGGCAACAGCCCTTCTTTAATTACCACCTGGGGAGGTACAGCCTCCGGACTAGGATGCCCTAACACCGGGCTAGAGCTCTCAGATCCTCTGGTTATGAGCAACCTAGGGGAGGCTATTCTGACCCGACCCAGCCAAGGTACGGGTCCCAACCACTGGCCAACTCGGACCCGGCCCTTACAAGGACGTGAGGCCGGGGTTCCCAGGGTCTCACCACTGGCCCACAGAGTCCCGGCCCTTACAAAGACAGCGGGGCTAGGGATCCCAGGGTCCTAGGCTAGCTGGTCTTCTGGCTTCTGTCTTGGACTGGCCCCGAACCCGTTGAGAGGTCCGGCTTTTATACACCTCCCAGGTGTGTCAGCCTCTGGCCACGCCTCTCTTCCAGAGAGTTCCAGGAGGGGGGTCCCGGGGGATCCTAGGACACCCCGTAGCCCCCTCCTATTGGGAGGGGTCGCGGAGGATCCCAGAACACCCCGCAGCCCCCTCCTGCTTTTGGGCTGGAGAACGTAGCGACCCCCCTGTCGGTATAAAGCACTGCCCCTGGTGGGCCCTGTCTGCTACTGCAGATAAGTGCAGCCCATTTACAGCGCTACACTTCCAAAGACGAGCCAGCAAGTGAGTGAGCGGCTTCACCTGTGGCTCGGCTCAGGCTCTGCTCATGGAAATCCTGAGCACGGCTGAAGTCGACCTGAATTAAGAGCGGTGGGTTTGAGCTGGCTTACTTGAGCCAGAGCCAGGCATAAGCCGAGCCAATATTAATAATACAGGATTCTTAGTGATGATTACGTGTTATGTAACTGGTTAATATACAGATGTTAAGAATTGTGAATCTGAATGCAGAGCTGCGTGATGTTCCATCACCTGGAAGACCGGGGGAGTCTCCGCACTTCTCTGCTTCAGGATGTTTGTAGTTCGTGAACAACATCAGGTCCACCGGCAAAATATCCACCTTGGTGGACGTCACCATCACCCTGTCACGCGGAGAGCCACGTGCGACTGTGAGACACTCATGGGACTTGAGCTGGCCGGTTGTCCAAACAACCAAGGATCATCTATAGAAATGCTAAGCATGGCCATCTCTCGCTTAGACACCCCATAGCTTTTGGCTGTACAGGTTCTAAGCTACACGAAACTCTAAACTATTTTTATGTGACCAGGCAAGGCCCACTGAGCTGTGTAGCTCTTTTTCAGAAGCGACCTCGCTACAAATGGCAGCTCAACGAAGTGGCTTATTAAGTGGAAATGTATTGCAGCCAAATACTCGAAACGCATGTTTTATTTTTATCTGACGGAACCAGAGGACTCGGAGGAAAATCCACATGACCACAGGGAGAACATGCAAACTCCAAATATACAGGCATCGGTCTCAGGATCGAACCACGACCTTTTGTATACCAGACGAGGTAGTTAAGATCTCACCACTGCAGCGCCTGGCCAGGTTTACTCAACAGTGTCTGGGATTTATTTAATGCAGCAACTCGACACGGAGTAAGTTAGGTCACACCATCTGACCAAATTTGTGTCGTTAAGAGCCCTCCACCACCCTACGCAGCCGAAAACAAATTTAATTGTAACGCGGTGTACGAGTGTTTGAGGTACGACATGTGTGTGTGTGTGTGTTTGGGCATTCGTGCAAGTGTCCCAGAAGAGCATTACACGCTGGGGTAACCAATGCTTTAGTCCTGTGTAGCGGCCTTTGCAAGGCACTTCCCCCCCCCCATCCCTTTCAACAGGTGTGCCTTGGTAAAGTGATCCCTGAGGATGTTCATTTTAAAAGTACAGGTTGGGTACATGTTCGTGATCATATATTCGTTTTTCAGTTTTCAGGCAGGGAGATAGTCCGGGATAAATATTATTTACAGGTTGTTACAGAATCATTCAGGCAGAGAGAGAGAGTCCTGGAGCTGAGTTTTTAAGTAGATTGTTTGATATAGGAATTGTATTAACAAGTTCAGTGTTTCAGGCAGGGTGATACAGGAATTGTATCGACAGATTCAGTGTTTCAAGCAGTGCGTTTGATATAGGAAATGTTCATAAATCGGTTCTGGTGTTTCAGGAAGAAGGGTATTTCGGCCAATCTCAGCCATCGTGGTGTCTGGGTTGGTGATCGTGCCCTGCATTTGCCATCCGCTTTCAATGAGGAAGCGTTCGCTGTTGATGAACCTCCCATGCCTACACATTTCTGCAACTTATGAGCTATGGGCGTGCGTTGTCTGCAGTACCGCCGAGTACGGAGGCTGGCGTCTGAGGCTACATGCTGCTCCTGATTCTGGCTCAGGGGGCTGCAAGCTGCTCACTGCATCAAAGCCCAGGAGCTTTGAGGCTGTAAGCTGCTCTGGCATGAGGCTAGAAGAGTACCAGAGTCAATACTTTATTGCGTGGTTGGGTAACTTTCGGGGTGACGCGAGCTGGTTGATTGTTTTGTGATTGATGAGAATCCTGCAGCAGAGAGATAATTCATATAGTTTTGCTATTCTTGCGTTGAGGGAGCACAGACTACAGTGGATCTATTACTATGGTCGATAGTTTGGGCTGAATGGCCACAATCGCACTACTGTGGTTTGTGTCCTTAAATTTTCCAATTATGAAGGAGATATGGTGCGCATTGGTCTGTTTATGTTTTGATGCGGTTGATTGTTACACCAACAGTGTCTTCGAGGAGCAATGTAAAAGCCAGGAGGTGGTGCGATATTTGAGTCTCGAATTAGGTGTTTATGATGACGCGTAATGATGCGTGAGGTTAGTTGAGATGCTGATACCTTGGGTGTGTGGTGGATCCAAGATTAACGTTCTTAAATACACTTTTCATGGCCTCTTTCAGCTTTATGGTGGAATGTGGCTTGGCTCCTCGGAACACTTTGTCCTTCAATTGTAAGTACGTCCCTATTATTTGCGGTGGTTGAAATCCTGAAACAAACCAAGCAACGTTATAAAAAAAAACACTTTCCAAGGGCAAAGTTTTTCTTGAGAGTTTTTTTTCGTGGCAGTGGTGATGATCGTGCCTCACAGCGAGAAGGGGCCTTGGTTTGACTCCCGACTCGGGCGCCTCTGTGTGTGTGGACCATGTGTGTTAGCTCTCTCTCGCTCACCCTTTTCTGCATGGGTTTCCTCCGGGTTCTCCGGTTTCCTCCCAGAGCCACAAAAACGAAGTGTAACTGGTACTGGCCAAAATATATAAATCCTGGAATAAATCCTAAAAAAAGACACCTGCCAACTACCAAATTGGAAGTGTACACGCGTACACAGCAGCAGCATTGAACCCTACTGTGAAAACTTGACAGGACCCCATATTTACTTCAAAAGGAGGCCACAGTGATTTAACGAGTGACTTTATACCCTCAACGAAGTGAATGTGGAGAGGTGACCGGGTTCATTTAGAGCTATGAATACAGCAAAGGTCATTGGGTTTCAAATCTGGACAGTTGCCCAACCATGATTAAACGGGTTCTTATGTACAGTGAGTTGATGGTCCCTGACCGGTCACAAATGACTGCATACAAGAAACCTATGATTGCATTAAAATTGATTCTGCACTACATTTGGCTGAAATCTAGCTCCAAGAATGAAGCATATTAATTTGGCTCGTGTGGTGAACACTACCCTCAGTGGCAGGGCGGTTGGGAAAGGGCTGCTCCTTATTGTGTGCAACACAGGTCACTTGCAGAAGGGATCTCAAAGGTAGCTCTGATATCCGGTTTCGTCGGGCGTTTTATGTAAACCAGAGGATCATTTGAAGAAGGGGATCTCAGAGGTAGCTCTGATATTAGATTCCGTGGGCCATTCTCTAATAACACGATGTGACACACTGCTCTACTAGAGTTCGATGATGGTGGTGGTGGTGATGATGATACGGGAATACGAGGACTTACCGAGGACTATGGCGATTGCCAGGATGCCGCCGGTGCTGGTGCCGGCCACCCAGTCAAAGAGCTCAGCCAGGCTCCGGCGATTGTTCTTTCGCCAGAGGAAATCAAGGATGCGAGCGAGCACCAGGCCCCGAATGCCACCGCCATCCATGCAGAGCACGCGGCCTCCCCCACCGAGCACAGGTGCCGCGCCACCACCATCACCACTGCCGCCCGTGACGCTGCAACGAGTGCACAGAGTCTTTGAGCTGTACGCCTTTTGGCATCATCTGGTCGAGCACCAATTGGGTCGAGGCTCAAAAGAAAGCCGTCCCTTGGTGTGGACCAATCAATTTCAAGGACAATGCATATATTATCATAGTATTTTTTTGTTTGCATTTTGACTGCAGGTATTGTGGTTAATGCAGACATGAATCCTTGTAAAAAGGTTTCAGTTTAGTTTCCAGAAAAAAGGGGAAAACCCCTATTATTACATTTTGGTACTGGCAAAGGAGGTCTAATGACATACATAACCGTTTTTCATTTAACAACCCGAGTCGATACAACCACAGTGATCGCCACAGCTCCGTGTCAGGCTACTGCCTCACAGCGATACGACATCACAATTGAGCGCGGCCCTTTTTATAAATCCACTGCTGGACGATGAGGGCTGTCGTCCCTAGCCGTCTCCAAACCCGGTAGGAATTTTGTAACGAGGAGAGTAGGGGGGAGACTTGAGATTGCGTGAGGATGTGCCAATCTATTCTTGGCCCTTGATCGACTGGGCTCAGAGGTGGCGATTGCAATCAATAAAAGCAGTGTCACAAATTATTTCAGTAAAAAGAGCAGATTTGAAAAGGACAAGATCCCAACAAAATACCTTTCTTTGCCGTCTTCATCCGCAGCAGAACTGGAGTCATTGAGTCCTGGTCCATAGTAACAGAAATAAACAGTGATGTGGTCTGTGCTGTGGGTTCTCTCTGTCTGCTGTGTGCAGTAGTAGCATCATCATCAATGCGAGCTGTCTGATGCCACCGTCCGAAATTCGAGCGTCAATCACAGTCTGGATTCACTCAGCATCGATGGTGGAAATGTGCATGGAACATCCGCTCGTCTCTCCAATTCTTCATTCACACTTTGGAATTCACTTCTCACCATTATCATCGTCGTCTCTTTCCACATGCAAGGTCTTACCATCATAGCAATCTTGCTCAATGCAAAAAATGAGTTACACCCTCTTGTACAAATTTGATACAGGTGCTGTTTCTTGCTGGCCACTTCAGACGGGTGACAAAAACGAGCCCCAGCACAAATAATCAATGCCTGGACTCAGTCAGGGACCCCAAGCATAATGGGTGCTTGGTGGTTTTGAATAGTGGGGTGGTTATTGAATAGTGGGATAATTACACTAATGTAACACAATTTTCGTTCCTGGGTAGTAAGTGTTATTTCGTAATTTCTCATGCCTAAAAAGTTTCGAAAATGGCTATTATTCCCCACAAACTTTGCTTTTGTGACCAGGACAGTGATATTTAGAAATGTATCTATTTTCAGTGAGAAGATTGGCGAATTTGTGTCTTTTCGTTCACATAAAGTCAGAAAAAAACCATATGAATAAAAATGTACATGTATTTATACTAAAGTAATACAAAAATGACTACAGAAGATTTAGAAGTGAGTAATTTTCGAGATTTACGATTATACTGTAAATCACTTTCACGTATCAGCCCCCATTATGTTCTCGTTATATTGTCCTTGGTAGTGGCGTTCCAAGTCAAGTATATCCTGGTGGAAGCACTCGCCTTGCTCCTCCGAGTACGCTCCCATGTTCTCCTTGAATTTATCAAGATGAGCATCAAGGATATGGACTTTGAAGGACATCCTACAGCTCATTGTGCCATAGTACTTCACCAGAGTCTCAACCAGGTCCACAGTTTTCGGCCTTGTTTCAGTTTCATTTATTAGGTATAACCACGTGAGCCATGCGGCTCTTGACTCGGGTGCAACCGCAACAAACAAAAGCATGAACAAGAAACATCTTAAAGTGACTACACGCAACAGAAAAATCCAGGAAAAAACAGCAAAGTCTTGTGATTGCCCCGGAAGCCCCGAACCACTGTGACAAAGCTGTTCCAAGCCGCTTTCTCCTTACTAGTGAGCTTCTTGGGGAATTCATTGCACTCCAGGATCTTCTTTATCTGTGGGCCGATGAAGACACTGGTTTTGACCTTTGCCTCAAACAACTTATGGGAAGAAGTCTTGAAGGTACTTGAAGGCTGCCGACTCCTTATCTACAGCTCTGACAAATTGTTTCATAAGGCCCAATTTGATGTGCAGTGGTGGCATCAGCACCTTCTGGGGGTCCACCAGTGGCTCCCACTTGACGTTGTTCCTCCCCACAGAGAACTCGGTCCGCTGTGGCCGGTCCCGCCTGTGGTAATGCACCTTGGTGTCCCTGCTGTCCCAAAGGCAAAGATAGCAGGGAAACTTGGTAAAACCGCCTTGGAGACCCATCAGGAATGCCACCATTTTGAAGTCTCCGATGACCTCCCAGCCGTACTCATCATACTTCAAGGTGTCCAACAAGGTATCGATGCTGTTGTAATCCTCTTTGAGGTGCACTGAGTGATCCAGGGGAAGAGACGGGTACTTGTTAGCATTATGGAGCAGCACGGCTTTGAGGCTCCTGGATGAGCTGTCAATGAAGAGGCGCCACTCATTCTGGTTATATAGGCGATTATGATTGCCTTGAACAGACTGGTCACATTGTGGCAGGAGCAGAGCCCATTTTGATGGGTGAAGAAGCTGCAAAAAGGTTGGTCACGCTTCCTCTCATCTGCGATTTGCATACTTTCATCCAACACGTTCCACTGCTTGAGCCTAGACGTATAAAGCTCGGCATTGGACTTGGTGAGACCAATATCTCTGATCAAGTCGTTGAGGTCTTTTTGGTTGGGGTAGTATGGGTTTCTCTCCTCAGCTCCACCTCTGAAATTGTTATCTGGATCTACAATGTCTTCCTCGCTCTCTGACTTGCTGCTCTCTTCTAAAGACGGCTGCTCTCTTTCCGGAGGAGTGGGTATGGGGAGCTCATGGCAATGTGCACCGGGGCAATGGATGAAGGAAGGTCCGGATACGTGTTAGCAGGTGCATTCTTGCCAGTCCGACGTTTGGAAGGGTCCACCATGTAGAAGTAGCAGTTGCTTGAGTGGTCAGTAGGTTCTTGGGATAGCGAAATTCATGGCTCTATTTTCCCCTCTGTACCATCCAACAAAAATACATTCATTTCACCCATGACTAATGTGTAAGAGATTCTCGCAACATTTTTCAAAAAAATTTTCCATAACATTGAAAATTGTAAAACATTTTAAAATTAAAAACTTTTACAATTTAAATTTTTTTAACAAATTTTATCACGTAAAATTCCAAGCAACAATTGTCCAGCTTGCCTTCCAGAGTGTTTTGCATTTCTCACAGGTGAAATGAGGTGCCCAGGGTTTGTCTTGATCCCCGACAGGCATGCCAAAATATGCCTTGTAGGCCTCACACATCTTAGCAGATGCTTCCACAGAGTACTTTTTGCTCTCGTCTTGATAAATTGGCCGCAGACATAGAAAAATGCATCTGCCGGATGCTTGCAACCTCTTGATGCTATCTCAGAAAAATGCAGATACGTATCCACTTAGGCAGCTGGAACTAAACTGGACTTTAGGCCTCTGTATTTATACTACTATTTATATTACTGGAAAGTTTTAGAATGTTCTATAAGTTACTCCAAGTTTACTCAGCACTGAATTTATCTGGAATGTTCTGGAAAATAGGTACATTTCAAAATATCACTGTCCTGGTCACAAAAGCAAAGTTTGTGGGGAATAATAGCCATTTTCTGTACATTTGAGGCATAAGTAATTAGGAAATAACACTTACTACCCAGGAACTCCGGAGTAGGAGAAATTATTGAGTGAGTGCTGTTGAATAGTGGGGCGGTTATTGAATGATGGGGCAGTTATTGAATGGCAGGGTGGTAGAATGAAGGCCAAAGGGGCCAACGGAGATCCCTTGGATAACGGATCTTGGGACACAATCCCCAAACCCCGGAAGGGGGGACTGGGGGATGACGTCACCCTTCCAGGACCTGGTGGAAGGTTCTGGAAGGAAGGCGTGGCCGAGGCGGAGCAAGCCCCGGACCTGTATATAAGTCGGAACTCTGAACGATCGAGAGAGTCACTTCCAAGCTGAAGACCAAAGACCTGGGCTGAGTATATGACCCTGGACCCCAAGCTCCGCCGTCCTTCTAAGGGCCGGAGCTGAGTGAGGCCAGTGGTCAGGACCTGAAGACCCTGGCACAGTCGGGTCAGCATAGCCTCCCCTAGGGCCCCTAGCCGGAGGACTGGGAATTAGCGTGGTCCCAGTATTAGGGCCCGTGTAGTCCGGAGGCCATACCTCCTCAGGTATCGGGTGAAAGGGGCCACTACCCCTTTGTGTTAGGGACCCTGTAAGAAGTATAGTGTTAAATAAATATCGTGTTGCCTAAACTGGTATCTCCTCTGGTATTTGACCCATTACACATGTTTATTGACAGTAAAATATGATTTCCCTAATTTACATATTAATACAATGTGATATTAAATATTGCTTTATCATATACATACATACTGTTTCTTTTATGCAGTATTAGCAGGAAGTATCCAGGTTTGCCCGGGGGAAAAATATTTCGAAACTTGTCTACTCTTAAAAAACAACATATCTATACAGAAATACGAAGCTATTATGATAGCCCGGCGTTCAGTTTGTCTCCATTTGTCCGTCAGCACAATTATACGAGCCTTTCAGAAGTCCTGAATCAAAAAGTTATAGAAAGTGGGGGTAAAAGGTTGATCTAAATAAACAAACAAAATATTTGACCAGGTAAAGGCCACCGAGCTAATAGTTATTTCTTCAAAAGGGACGTGGCTATCACAAATGATAGCTCAACGAAGTGGCGTAAGTTCTGTCGCTGTCTGAAACGCTCTTCCGACATTAGGAAGCCACTAGAGCTATGCACTTTTAAATCATCAAGCTTGAAAACGAATTTCTTTTGAACTGCTTTTTGTGTTTAGTTTGTCCCCCCCCCCAGCACCTCCAATTAGCACGGTCGGCTTTGTACGGCATGAAAGAAGTTCAACATGCATACATTACGCAGTTATTAGTCCCGAAGATCATGGCTCTGGCCGTGCTGGGTGGAGCGGAGGGTGCATGACACAACATCTTACACATGTTGAAATTTAAATCAGCTTCATGAAATAATCAGATGGCGACTCACACCTGGGACTGGAGTTGGAGCTGATGCTCGTGCATAAGCCTCCCCGTGTCTTAGCAGCGACAACACCTGGTCCTTCACGCCTGCACAACGACAACAAACATCGTCAGTGGTGGCAACACTCCTGCCCCGTATGTATGTTGAACTTATTTCGCACTGTACGTAGCCAACCGCGATAATCAGAGGTACCGACGAAGGGCAACAAACTAAACACAAAAATCAGTTCTGAAGAAATACGTTTTCAATTTAGATGATTTAGAAGTGCATAGGTCCAGTGGCTTCCTAATATCTTAAAGCGCGTGATGCAGTGGGCATCTTTCTTTTGATGACTAGACAAAAGCCGCTGCTGCGAGGGATTACCAGAATTCGATTGGTGGTTCATGCTCCTTGACGAGGTCGGCAAGATTGTGGTTCGTTTGTGGCAAGCACTTTGTGTGTAATGAGTGCGACCTAATAAAGCTTTTGTTCGCCTCACAGCGTGAAGGTGCCTGGCTTCGATTCCCAAATCGGGCGCCTTTTCTCTGCGTGGAGTTTTTTACTTTCTCCCCATTAGTTAATACAAAACATACAATTTAACTGGTATGGGCTGAATGCCTCAATGCAAAAAAAATATATACATATTCGTCTCCAACAACAGCGAACGGCAGAGGAGCGACGCACACAAAAATGAGCAGAGCGCCGGGCGGATAAAATTCAGCAAGTTGGCACAGCAAGTGGCAAAGCTGGTGAATCTGCCATTCATCTGTCAGTCAACCCATGGCATCTGGGTCTATCCCGTGACCACCTGTGCCAGCGAACCTTCGACACTTCACACGGCCTCAAAATGCACCTAGCTTGGCACAAGCGCCATGGTGACATCACTGCCAATTAGTGGTTTATGGCGGCTGTTGTAATTGTTTATGCGGTGCGCGTGCGGTGAAGCGAGCCGTGTGCCTATCTCTCACCCCCGGCGTGCACGTCTGCGGCAAGGTTCCACACCGAATGTCCATCTTTATTCTCCACTGTCAGGTCAGCCGAAAACAACACCAGGGCCTTCACCACCGTGCACAGATTCTGAAAGTGCAAAGCAACACAACCCGCACACCAAAGACTGTTTGGGCAAGTGCTGTTAGCGAGTGCCTATGAAGACCGGCACGGCACACGAAGGGGTGGGCGGCCAACACCACGCCCGGCTGAATTTGTCTCCCGGGTGGCAATGTTCACACACCGCACCAGGTACTCACCTGCACGCACCTGGCTTTTCACGCGCGAGAGGCGTCCACTGGAGCCGTCTCACAGACGAGAGCACGCGGATCTCGCCTGCACTCACCTAGCGGCTCTTGCATGAGAGGTGTCCGCTAGAGCCGTATGACAGAGACATGCAGACGCGGATCTCACCTGTACATGCTCATTCTCACCGACGCCGCTTGAGCTGCAGCTGTCGCGCATGCTTTGCACGATCCTCTGCAAGGACATGGAACATCATCACACAAAATATCTCTATAGCTTTAAAAAGACTGTTACACGTAAATAATTACACAACAACAATAACTGCCATTCACCACTAAGTGAAGGGTTGAATGCCCACTGGCAGGAGCTCACAGGACAGACCCAGGTGCCATGGGTTGACTGACTAAGATGGCTAGCCGATGCACCACCTGCACCCTCTACTGTGCCAACTTGCTGTATTTTAACTGCCCGGCGCTCCTCTCATTGTTGTGAGCGTCGCTTGTCTGTCCTGGATTGTTGTTGGAGGGTGACTGCCTCCAACTGACCACTAGCATCCTTCACGGGCCTCCTCCATAGAGGCAGATCTTGATACCACTGGAGCAGACTTCGGCAAGTTCACTCAGCTCCACATCTCACCGTATTGCATCATTCCATCTCTTCCCTAGCGCATGCCGCGCCCATTTAGCCCCCTCTATCTTGCCGAACAAGAGCTGTTTGGGCCTGCTGTGGCTGGCCATGCGTGCTACATAACCCAGCCAACGCAGCCTTGCCTGCCAGAGTAGCGCATGAATGGACTGTCCAGATCTTTCAAGGATTTGTGAGCACCTCACTCAATCCAGCCTGGTTAAACCCAGGATGGATCGTAAGCAAGCCAGCCTGAATGTTTTTAACCAGCACAGATGGTTCATTTTTTTTGCAAGCATAGAGAAGGGAAGGCATGACCATGGCCGAGAAGACCCAAAGTTCCATGTGGAGCGACAGACCAGGTAGTTTTCACACAGCATTACCCAGCTGAAAAGACAATGCTGCTTTACTGATTTGGAGTGAGACCTCCAGTGTCAACCCGCAGCTGGCCATAAGCACACTGCCCAGTTATGAAACACTCTTCACTATCTCCACAACTACTCCATGACCAATGGAGAGTTGTGGGAGTTGAGTGTTTGATACAAAATACCCAGACCGCCCTGGTCTGAAACCACATTGAGGCTCTGCAAGCATCTCAGCGTGCCTGGTAAGGTGATGCTGAATAAGCCTTGCACACCGAGGAGAGAGATGCCCCTGTAGTTGTTACAATCTGTGCGGTCCCCCTTCTTGAGGAGAACCAACAGGGCATCCTTTCAATCCTGCGGATTATGTGGTCAATACAACTGTGATTATGTCATGTAGGACCGTATGCACACCAATGCCACCCTTCAGCATTTCGATTGCAAGATTATCTCTGCCCGGTGCTATTCCTGGTCTCAGACTCTGGATCGTCCCTCATACTTCCTCCACAAATGGAACCTCAGCCAACACTCAGAAGGGGTCGCTACTTCTGCCAATATGTGAAGCATTGCAGCCCCAGCAAGATCATCCCAACTTTGCCCTTTGGTGTTGTCTGGGCTGAGGGATTTTCCCTCCCCCAAGACCTCATATAAATGATCTGTAAACCTGCAGTTTCTGGGGGTTGGAGATCGGATCATCATTATTTCCCTTAAGGATGGTGATAGGTGAGGTACTGCAAGTTACTGTTTTGATGGAATTAAAGAGTTATTTGTCATTACGGGTTACTGAAAGCAGATTCCATATTTTCAGCAACCCACGGCCACCACTCATCCCTGCAACACTGCATGGTTTTCCGAACCTTTGAGCGAAGGCTACGTTAAGCCTCATACTCTGATGTTGGTATGACAGGAGTGGCCCTGTCGTTTTCTCTCAACTAACCGGAACACCTCATCCTTCAGTCAGAGTCTTTAGGGAGGTCTTCAATGCATACCCAATGCAGCCGTTGCAACTGCATGAGCCACAGTTCTGAACCTCACCCATTTCTCCTCGGCATGAGGAGGCAGGGAGACGATGCCAACCCCAGCTGCAATTTTAAGTGGTGTGAGCTCGCCTGTTATTAATCACAAGTATTATTGTGCGCTGTTAACAGCTACGGGTAGTCAAGTTCGTTTTCTTTTTTTACATTAAGGGAATGCGATTGTGACCAGGGAAACGACCCTGAGCCCCACGTACGCTGTAGAGTACGGGGCACTCCCCCAATTGAGATTTTGGTGGATCCCGTACTGAGGAATTGAGCCGTGGTGTTGTGATGTGGAGGGTGTGTCTGGTCGCTATTGCAGATACACAAATGCCCTTCGGAAGAACAATTTGAAATAAAGTTTAGCCATTCCACAAACCTCTGGTGCACAGAGGTTTATCCAGAGGACAAAACACAACGTGTAGCACCTAGTCATCGTCTCTGAACTTTATTATTTGTATTGTTGACTATTTAGCCGACCTGTCCTCTTCATCAGAATTTATGATGGGAGGAGAGGGACAGGGCGGACTTTGGGTTTGGACGGGGTTCTAGATGCTATTGATGCCCCCAGGGTCTGGAATGCTATTGCCAATAAACTGCAACTTGAATCACTACCTATGAGATCTTCACTCAAAACTGCTCTAGAGGAGTTGTACAACCCTAGCTGCCACTGCTATTCAGTGGCCTAAAATATGGCTCTAGATTGTGGTGTTATAATTTATTGATGTGGTTTATTGTTAAAAATTCGGTCACAGTCCCTATGATCACTGTTACATTGGATTTAAGGCTTTTATTTTGGTGATTTCGAAAAGTTTTTTTGGTTTTGGCCATGTTTTTGTTTATTGTGGTACGGAGTTAGACTGATGGCCGTAATCTTAGTTGTCTTGTGGTTGTTGTTGTTATTTGACTTGCATCCCACTGGGATTTTTGCACACAGCGTTGGTGTACGGTGCTATTTCAGGAATATTTTGATATTTTTTTCCTGTATTTTCTGTTTGCACAGTCACATAATCACTTTAAGATTTTTCTTGTTCATGCTTTTTGTTTGTTGCGGTTGCACCCGATTCAAGAGCCGAATGGCTCACAGGGCTATACCAAATAAATTAACTATGAACTATGACGCCCACTGCACACACATAGACCGCCGCGCTCACACACAAACATACAGAAGCCACAGTTTTGGTAGTACTCGCCGAAGGGGCGGGGCAAGGTGCGCCCCCACCCCCACGCTCGTGACGCAACTGGCGGGGGGGGTGGAGTCTAGGAGGAGGCGGATGTCTCACCTTGATGGCAACGTGCAGGGGCGTGTCTCCGTGGGCCCCGTCTCTCGCGTCCAAGTCGGCGCCATTGGCCAGCAGCGCGATGACGGCGGAGAGCGTCCCGGCACGCACGGCCACGTGCAGCGGCGTGCTGCCGGCGTCGTTGCGTGCACCCAGCCATTCAACGCCGCCCTCCGCCAAGTCGTAGATCAGCTGGCGCGGCCGAGGGGACGAGGCGCAAAGTGTGGGTGGGTGCATGCACGACGAACCCGGCAGAAACCCGAGTTTGATTCCCGCTCACGTCTAGCAACACCAGTGACGATTATCTGAACTGGCCCTGGGCTCCCCCGAGATCGACTCAGCCTCAAATGAGTACCTGGTGCGGTGTGTTTGTGAACGTCACTACTGGGGAAACAAAGGCGGCCGGGCGTGGTGCTGGACACCCACCCCTTCTTGTGCCGTGCCGGCCTTCATAGGTAGTCGCTGACAGCACTTTCCCTAACAGTCTTTGTTGTGCGGGGTGTGTTGCTTTGCGCTTTCAGAATCTGTGCACGGTGATGAAGGCCCTGGTGTTGTTTTGGGCTGACCTTGCTTTCATAGGTCCTACATGCTAACAGCACTTGCCCCAATAGTCTTTGAAGGCTTTACAGGGGATGTTTGTCTTTGCAATCCCAATCGAGTCATTTGTAGGTGATTTTTCAGCATTGGCGATGATCTCTAAGCAGCGTCAGCGTAGTCAAAAAGTAGTAGAACGATAGGTTCAACAATTGCACAGCAACACCTCCCCCCACCGAAAAAAAACACGTGGCAGCACCCTCCTGAAAAGAGTCTTGAGACTCGGCGAGGCTTTCCTGGGCAAGCAAACGAGCGCCGTGATAACACCGGTCGAGAGGCGTCGTGAAGGAGATGCTGCGTTACCATGGCGACGTTGTCGTCGACCTGCGAGGCCATGTAGTGCGCCGCGATGTTCCCGTGCTTGTCCGTGGCCTCCGCGCGCGCGCCCAGGCCCAGCAGCCCACGCGCGCACGCCACCTGCTTCGCCTCCACAGCCATCATCAGCGGGGTGCGGCCGTTGTCGCTCTCCGGCTCGTCGATGTTCCTGCCGCCATAGAGACAAAGATCCCCCGTGTAGCCTTAATAGACTTCTTGAGGCTAGTGCTGTTCGGGAGTAGCACTTTTGAAGGCCCGCAAGGCACACGAGGGGGTGGGTGGCCAGGACCACGCCCGGCCGTCTTTGACTCCCCAGTGGTGATGTTTACACATCGCACCAGGGACTCATTTGAGGCTTGAGTTGGCCTAGGAGAGTCCCAGGACCGGTTCTGATATTCGTCACTGATGTTGACGGCCGTGAGCAAGAATGGAAATCGGGTTGCTGGGTTCATAGTGTAGCGTGTTGACCGCTACACAGGCATAAACATGTCACACACTTCGTGGGTGAGGTCACGGAACAGACCCGGGGGTTATGGCTGAGATGATTGCGCCAACTCACGCTAGACTCAAAAACAAAGTTCCCCCATAAAGCTTTTAACAGACCTGCAGCAAGTGCTGTTAGCAAGCACCTGGTGAAGTGGCTATGACCAGGCCTGGCCACTTTTGTCTCCCCAGGACCTGGTACTTAGTTTGGCTGTGAGTGGGGATTCAACTCGTGCAACTGCCTCCAACTCCCCAGCAGTGTCCTTGACCAGCCTCCTCCACGGGCCGATCTTGACACCGCTGGTAACCATCAACGGTTACCAGCGGTGTCTGCTCCACTTCCTCCTGTACCGTATCATTCTGTTATTTCTCCAGCCTGTGCCATGCCCATTGAGTCCCCTTTATAGGTCAAACAGGAACTGCTTGGGCATGTGGTGGCTGGGCATGTGGGCTACGTGACCCAGCCAAATACAACATTTATTTTTTTTGTCATGGATTAAACTCGTATGTGACAGGAACCTTCCACCATTGTTCCAACGTCGCCTCGCTTCAGCCTGTGTCCAGCGGCCTCCCCTCCGCACCCACCTGCTGACCTCGGCGTGAGACAGGGCCTGGTGAAGGCCGCAGTAGGCCGCCACGTGCGCCAGCGTCCACTTTGGCCGCTCCTGGAGGCACCGGGCGACGGCCAGGAGCTTGCGTCGTCTCTGCTGGTTGTCGTCGCCGTCGTCCCACGGGCAGCTCGTGAACGGGCGGAGGGACGCGTCCAGCCGCTCTGCCAGTCCCCGCGCCGTGCCCTCGTCACGCTCCGTGAACACTCTGCGATGCCGGGTAGTGGCCGAGGGGAGGTGGGAGGGAGACCACATGGGAAAGAACCTCAAGAAATAACTTCAAAGATATCCATCGACGGTCCACGTTCTGGCATTAAAACACAAACTCGCAGGTGATATTTTATTCAGTGTGTTCTGCACAAGCCTTGCCACTCTTCTGTGATCCTATCTATTTCCCTACTCGCATCTCCCCCCTATCACTCCCTTATCCGTCTCCTTGTACCGTCATAATTCCCCACTGGCCATTCCTCCTACTGATGGACTCGTCCCCTGTAGGTGTCTTGCTTGTGAAGCTGATGACTCGATCACCTGTTTCATCTGCTCTAGAAGGCTCATCTCACCCAATACAGAACCCTCATTTCACCTATTATTATTATTACTACCCAGGAAAGCCTCACCAAGTCTCAAGACTTTCTCAGGAGAGTTCTGCCAGGTTTTCTCAGTAGGGGCACAATGTTGCTGCTGTGTGTGAGATCTAAAATGGGTAAATTGCAGGTAATCTTATAGCATTGGGATGTGGTTTTGGCCAGTACCGTTTACATTATGGGCTTTTCTTTAGCTATGGGAGGAAACCAGAGAGACGTATGCAGAACATGGGGGATAACATACAAACTCAAACATTTTCTCGGTTCTTTCGGTAAAGTCACCACGTAGAAGGGAAACAATAAAATAATAAAAAATATAAAACAATAAAATTATCACGACGTTTCGAATGCAACACAAGCAATCGTCATCAGGTGTGACTTTACCGAAAGAACCAAGAATATGAATCCCTGCAGTCACGAAAGCTTTAAATCAAAATTTAAACTCAAACATGTAGAAAGGTGGTCCGAGTTGGGAACCGAACCCAGGCCCCTACTTGCTGTGAGGCAAGAGCGTCACCGCTGCGCCGCCACCACCACCACTGCCGCCCCACGTGGAAGCGCGGGCCTCGGAGCAGCTCCTTTGCGTGAAGCGAGCGACGTGGAACGTGCACGGACAGAGCCGTCCTCACCTCGCCCACCGCTCGGGTTCTTCCGACGCCTTCATCACCCCATGGAAAGTGGGCGACTCTGCTCCAACCTTGTGCAGGGTCAGGGCCTCCAACTTCAGCACGGAGGCTCCCAAATCTTGAGCAGAGAAGAGCTCATACTCCAACGAGATTATCGTTTTGGGGTTGTTGTCCATGGCGTGTCACCTGCGGAGTGTCACCAATTTATAAGATTTTTATAGGGTGAGGCCACGTACACAGTGATCTGACCGTTAAGACCCCAACACCACCCGAAGTGGAAAAACAAATGAAATCGTCACGCGGTGTACGGGCGTTAAACAGTGTGCTGATTATCATGATTGTTTCAACTCATTCACCCAGTGAGTTGAGCGATTCTCACAGCCAGATTTGAATGGTTTGTAGTGGCCCAACAAAAAACAGTTATGAAACGCAATATTTTCCTGCAAAAATTTACACGCTCAAATATCATTCCCTGAGCCACGTATTCCAATGTGTGTAAAGTAGGCAATAAATACGTACACAAGCGATCCCCAGGTTGCGGAAGACCCGACTCACGGAAATCCGACTTGACGGAAATTCTCCCATAAATCGTGTTAAAAAAAATTTCAATATGCGGATATGTTTGCGTTAGTTACGAAATAGCGCAGCGCGTTGAGGTTTTGGATGACTACCGCAGAGCGAGACTTAACGCGGATAGCCGCCTTGCGCCTCGGTCCACCAAAACGCCGCCTTCACCGAGTTTCACTAGGATTAAGTTACATTTATTTTTGTAGCATTACTGAGAGAAAACGAACCTAGTAATCGAGTACGGGAGGCACTACTACTTCCGGATATGGGATTTTATCTTGATTTTGGGGGAAAATCGTTCAGTTTCCGACAAACTAAAAATTCGGGTTACGGATTGTTTTGGGGAACCTAACCATTCCATAACCTAGGGACTGCCTGTACAGTAAACCCTCACTATGCCTGAGTTCTGGATTCACTAGTTTTGCATATTCACGTGTTTCGAATATTCGCGAGTTACTAAATGCATGCTAATTGCTTATTCGCAACCCGCTGGCAGTATTCACAGGTGGTGTGCCCAGAATGTTTAGGCATGCCCCCTCGGCTACCCGCTTTGTCCTAAATTTTCGCAGTCATCCCGCTCTTAACTCTCCATTGTTCATTTTTACGTCATTATGTACTTGCTTGTGAATTGCCCTTAATCATGGTTCCCAAGCATCAAATGAGAGGAAAGTGCGTCTGCTGAAAAAAGGCATAAGAAAGTGATGAGTTTGAGTTAAAAGTTAAAATCGTTAGATTAGATTTCGGTGAGAGTACGTCAGCGGTAAGCCAACATTTTGGTATAAACGAATTGACCGCGAGGTCATTAAAATGAACGCGAATGCAATCAGAGAAAGTATTGTGGCTAGCCCTCCACAGAGTGCTAAAATTATAACTATGTGTTATCAAACACCTGCATTTCCCGTCAAATCATCATCAACGGTAATTAAAGACACATTGTTCCTTATAATGTATTATTTATTGTAGTGATTTTTTAAACCGTTTGCCATTTCCCCCCTGTGTTCTCTCATACCAGGAACGTAACTCCATTTTTCCCTTTGAACAAGGTTTTCTGCATTTGCAAATGCAGAACGTAACCCTCGCAGACAGTCAGGGTTGACTGCATTTTCAAACTGAAAAAATGTCACAATCAAATGGCGGATATGAAAGTGCAACGCAAACAGAGATTCTCTCGAAGTTGGATTGTTTGGGACTAGAAGATGTGTGGGGAGACAGGAGTTGAGATCGTCAGAAATGTTTTGGAGGTGGGCATGAAGGGGCAACGGAGCACTTGGTGGGGCATGTTGGCAGGAGGAGGGGGGGATATTGCACTTGTGCTATAGCAAATGGGATCTTGCTGGGGAACAAAAAGTGCCACCAGAAGAGAGAGAGCTACCGATTTGCAAGGTGCGGTAAGTCCTCGGTTAATGCGTGTTCGTGCAACACGGTTTTCCCATGAGAGACCATTTCTCATACACCGCAGAATGTGCCCCCTTAGAACGTGGACTGCGCAGTGTCATAACGTGGATTTTGCAGCGTCATTACGTTGAACGTGCAACGATATAACGTTGAACGTGTAACGTTCTCACCTGGAACGTGCAGCGTAATGTGGAACCGCGCATCGTTGTAAGTGGAAACGGGCAGCATTATAACACAGAACGTGCCCCGCTACATCGCGGTCAATGACGGACTACTTTCTTACGCTGCGCGGCTTAGCGGTACGATCAATGCGCGAAATGATACGGTAACACGGCGGCATCCACTTCGTTATTTTACCTGCCAACTTCGTTATTTTACCTGCCATCTCACTGCGCTTATGCGTGGTGGATCGTATCTCACCAAACTATCATTACATCGTTCTTTGGGAGCATTGTTATTGCTTCACGCATTTTTCGCTTACGGCGGCAGCTTTTCAGGAGCGCATCTACCGGGGCTTTATTGTCGATCGCCGTTGTTTTCGTGTTCACGCAAGAGAGCATCACCGCGTGTGAAGACTCCCTTTCTTAGGAGGGTCCTGCAAAGCCTCCTCAATGGTCCCCGCTTCATAGCTGTCACGGGAGGCTCGGGTGCGAGAACCCAAGGACACACGTGGGGTGCTTCAGACCCTTGCCCTCCGTTCATGTTTAAAACGTTTCAACCCGGGGCCGTGTAAGCGAATGCACCAAGGGGTGGAGTGCGATGGTGAGACGCGAGATAAATGACGTCACGTACCTGGGGGGGGGGGGGGGGGTCAGACATTTGTGACGATGTGTGACGAGGGGGGGGGGGAGGTTTGAGAAATGTGACGTCACATCAAAATGCGCAACTTTAAATAAATATAGACAACACGTTCTATTTTTATTAAATAGACATTTCAAGAAATGTTTTCTCCTACAACATCAGAGTGCAGCGCCACATTAAATACGCACTACAATGTGACAATAGTTTAAAGCGATTTGAAACATGTTTTATTTTATTTTGGGGGGGGGGGGTGGGGGCAGAGCTTTGTGACGTCATATTTGAGGGGGGGGTCTGACTTTTTGTGACGCCGTGTGACGAGGGGGGGTCAAAAATCGTCCAAAATTGCGTGACGCCATTTATGGACGGCTCCATACCAGCTGCACTAACACCCAGACGTGCTTGCGCTCACACCCACACACAATCACAACCTCACGAATCGGCCACTCGGTACCCAGGTTGCCAGTCACTAGCCCACGTGTAACGACTCCGACGAACCAAGCAATAATGAGAGCCACTTTGATTTAAAGGCTTCCACAAGAAGGGACCCAAGTAAAGACTTTCACACGAAGAGACCCGAGGCTTCATTCTCATCTTCCGGCTTGTGTTTTCTTCCGAGCATCCCCACTCCTCGTGCTCTCCCCTTATATATCGCTCAGCCCCCTTTCTCGAACCTTCTTGTCCTTACTCTTTGGTTCTTTCGGTAAATACGTGGTGGCTTTACCAGCGCCCCAGAACACAATCCCAACATTTCGCCGGATTTAGCAGAACCTTCACAGGAGGGGGAGGGTGGAGTGGAGTGGCCAAAAAGTCATGAGCCAGTTGGACTATATTTCCCTTCTTTGCCCGTGCCGCCCCCCCCCCCCCTCACTCACCTTTCCCTCCCTCCCCCTTCCCCACCCCCATTTTTATCCCCTTATTTTTGTCATCCTTCCCCTATCATTCCCGCCCGAAATTAAAGTTCGTGCCCTCGCTCGCCGTCCTCCCACCTGACCGGGGGCAGTAAGCCAAACTTCTCTCCCACTATACTCTCCTGATGACGGACGCTTGTGTTGCGTCATCACCTGATGACGGACGCTTGTGTTGGCGCCGAAAGGTCGTGATTTATTTTATTTTATACCTATGTGACTTTACCGAAAGAAGCAAATAGTATGGATTCCTGCAGTCACGAAAGCTTCAAATCAAGATCTTCTTGTCTTTGTGTTTTTTTTACATTTTAGGCAATCCCTGTCCCTTCCCTCTAACGGATCCTTCCTGTTTTCCCGTTTTCTCGTTCAGCCCTTATTTTCAAATCTCTTTAAAAGTCTGCCTCCCGACCAAATCACCGTGGATGCCTCTTTCTTCCGTTAGGCTGCATATTGGCTTGGGGGTAATTTTTCGGTCATTACACATGTATCAACTGTGTCTGGTATGAGTCGCACCACCCTGGAACCAACTCGTACGATCGTACGTTAAGCCATTCAAAAACCGCCCGAAGTCTCTAAATCTTAGACATCGGTAGCCTGGTGCTGTTAGCATTGCGTACATTTAGGGCCAAATTCACTCGGGTGTTCAGACTAGGGCAGCCGCTGGACAACTAGCTGTAATGTAGATTGTCCGCTCCAGCTGTAAGACTGTAAATTAACCCCAAGACTATAGCAGAGAGAGGCGAGAGAGATAAGAGTCGGATACCTCACCTGTTTACACCATGGGGCCTGATATAATCTTCCAGGGATGTGATCCTGTGCTCAAGCTACACTCACTTTTCTCAACAACTTGAATGATGCCATTAACCTGCATGTGTTGGGAGACGTTCCAGGACTCCTTGTCTATTCGCGATGTTCACTAAATACGTCAGATGCCGTGTTGCACAGAACCTGTGCTTATGTCTCCTTCACGGGCGCTACTACAACCGCGACTTGGAAGAAAACTCCACCATCACCAGGTGACACGACACATATTCAACGAGTGATTTGCCAACAACGCGCACCTGCATATGCCCTGGCATGGGGGCTTTTACCCACGCAGAGGCGAGAGCCTATTTAGACATCTTTACACATCTCTTAACCCACACAGATGGCCAAAAGTCAAAATGTGAGAATCCAAATATGCATGGCTACAAATATACGGAATACTGCACGCAAATTACAAACCATGAAGGTTAAACGTTCACGTTCAACGACACATACGGTGCAAGTGTACAGCTTGCAGAATGCTGGGTTCTCTTCCAGGATGGAAGTGTAATTGAATTAGCAGTACGTTGCAGTGAGTACTCACCACAACCTTCATCACCCACACATCCACTCACCTCCACCAGTCAAGGGCGTCTAGAGTGATTCCTCTGTGTAGAGGTAGACAGGGCCGATGGTGGCGATCTGCAAAGTAAGTCCGAAAACTTGTGATCGCACGTTTATATTCGTCCAGTCCACCAGGAATCCACACGGACGTGGTCGGGAGGAGGAGGGTTTGAGTTTTCTCGCCATGGTTAACAATACACTTCCTCATATCCTCCCACGTTTTCACAATTCAAGTGATGTCAGCCTTGCCCTTGAGCTATTATGTGTGGGCAAGCGTTTGGACTGTGGAGTGTAGCCAGTGTGAGCTTACTTGTGATGAATCACAAGTATAATTGTACACATTGTTTCGTTTTAGAAGTATCAGGAACTAGGAAATTTAGGAGGCATTACATGTTTTATGAAAAATGTAAACATGTTTCTTGTTAAGTAATATGTATGTTCAACGTTATTAGATATAAGCTGCTGTTATATTTTTTTATATTTTGCGTGGATTCCGTGCTAAGGGACTGAGCTGAGATGTTGTGTGATGTGGAGGGTGATAAGGGTGTCATTGTTGCGGATGCTAAAATGCCCCTCGGAAGAACACTTTGAAATAACGCTTGGCCGTTTCAAAAACCTCTGGTGCTCCAAAGTTGTGGTGTCACCCACTTCTCCGGTGGACAGAACACAACACTGAGTATCCACGTATCGTCTCCGACCTTGATTATGTTTTATTGTTGTTTATTTAGTCCACCTGTCCCTTGGTTATAATTCACTGGGAAAGCGGGACAGGGCGGGCTTGCTACAGGAGTGTGTGGGTCGATATAATCTAGGGTAACAGACTGCACCACAACCTCCTGTGCAATCAAAAACAACCCCTGTTGACATCTCCGATGTGGCCGCTTAACATATTGTGAAAATTATATTACCCACTCACCCACTTGTACAAATCACAGTCACCCATTTGCCCATTCACGCACTGGATATGCAGAGTCGGCAGAGCCTAGAGGTGTTTCATTGTGAGGAATTAATTTCATTATTGTTGATGCTTGCTTTCCCTGGGAAGACTCACCGAGTCTCAAGACTCTTTTTCAGGAGGGTCCTGCCAGGTCTTCACAGTAGCGGGGCGATGTTGCTGCTCTATGTACTTATGCAATTTTAACTTATATACAGGGTGTTTAAAATTGACTAATCCAATTTCAAAGCAGTATATTCCACGATGGCAACATGTTACAATTACGCCAAAAGTTACAAACGGTTTAATGAGCTATCAAGTTTTACTAACCATTTTATAAATGCTCTATGTACTCTCCACCTGCTGTACGGACAACATTAAGACGATAGTTGAATTCGCCCCAAACGCCTCTCAAAGTGTCTTCTTCCGCTGAACTAACCGCTGCCATGATTCTGTTTTTGAGGTCATCCAGATTAGTCGCTAATGGTGGCACAAAAACACCACGGTCTTTGACGTATCCCCACAAGATAAAGTCGCAGGGTGTGGTGATGTCTGGGGGTGATCTTGGGGGCCAAGAGTGTAGCGCCAAGTCTTGGGGTGCCGTGCGACCTATCCAACGTTGAGGCAGTGTTGTCTTGCGAATGACTGAGGCTAGGGGCTGTTTGTGCGCTGGGAGAGGCATCTAGCGGGAATCATTTGAAACTCTAAGCCCTGCCCTCTATATGCCCCGCCCTCTATATGCCCCGCCCTATCTATGCCCCACCCTTTCAAGTGGTAAGAGTTTCATTCATGGGCGGTTCATGTTTGCAGAGATATAGCGATTTCAAATCGGGTCTATTTTTTTAAACACCCTGTACTTTCTTTTTTTGTCATTTTCCTACATTTCCTATACTTTCTACTATCGTTTTGGGTATTGTTTGTTGTTGTAACTTTCCGACCACCCCAAATGGACATGTGTGAAAAATATCTTCATACCTCATTGGATTTCTCCAGGATAAATAAAGATTCCGATTCTGAATCCAAACTGAGTCATTTTCAGGTATGATAAGGCCTCGATATCCGCGAGGGTTAGGTTCTTGAAAACCTGCACCGAAGTAGAATTTGCGAATGTAGACACTACGTTTAAATGGAGGGGGGGTGGTTGGGGATGGAGAAATTGGAATGTAACGGAAAATGAAAACATTTCGTAACATTAACCCTGTACTGTACACATGCCATCCATAAACAGTAATACCCACTTTTTACCTCTTTCACTTCATTTCACAAATACGTTGTCAATTAATACCGCTACCCGATTTACGGCACTTCAACCCACGCTAACGTTGCTGACAGCATCATCCGTCCTTTCTCGTTATCTATCACCTTGGCCTCGGCTCCCACCACCTACCCTGTAAAATTTGTTTGATTTACGTCATTTCGATATTCGCCATCGCAAATTTCAGGAAGGCATTGGTGCCGCAAATCGGGGTTTTGTACTTAAATTGTACAACAATGTACAAACAAATGACGCAAATACAACAAAATATAATCAGGAAATGACAATAAAACATCAATGATACTGTAGATTTGGAAGTTTAGTTTTCCTTTGATGTTTATGATGATGGGGGTGTGATGATGATGATGGTCAGCAGATGCACCATCACCACGAGCAAGTCTATCCAAAACATCTACTTTTGAACCACATGTAGTTTTTTTCCTCCTTTTGCTCTTGCTCTCACTTCCTCCACTCTATGATTCGGCCCCATGACTGAAAAGAAAACACT